TTTATTTATTTATTTATTTATTTATTTATTTATTTATTTATTTATTTATTTATTTATTTATTTATTTATTTATTTATTTATTTATTTATTTATTTATTTATTTATTTATTTATTTATTTATTTCCTCTAATGTAGAACACATTTTCTTTTTTCCCCAAACTTGGTGCATTTATTATGTATTATGTATTTTTTTACAATTACATTTTTTATAGAAACAAATATACTTTGTTGTCACTGAAGATGCAAATAAGCATGACAATTTCTCAGTCATGAAGTTTTACTCCCCTAGTACTATATTCTGAGCCTCAAAAGGACTAGTCATTGTTCATTCATTTATCATTACCAACTAGTGGTTCTGTTCTGTTGTGAACAGAATCTCAAGAGTCAACAAAACCAGCGTGTGCACGAATACACACACATCAAATAACCTGGTGGCCATAATCAATAAGGGTGTATATTACAGAGGAGCAGTCGACCAATGAGAAAACATTTCCATGGCAACTCACACACACGTAAAACCACTTAAAGGTACCCATAATTCTCTGGGATTATCTTTGAACCTTGGTTTTATTGTTGAGAGTGCAGGTCTGGGGGGAGTTGTGAAGAATAAAGTGTATGAGCCTCCCACAAAAAACATCCAGACTGGGTTTCAATTTAGAGAGATTATAGTGAGATGTCTGTGTATGTTCTTCCCGTGAGTCTTTGGTAGGATAAGTTAAATGTAATATGTTTATTAATTAATTTTATCGATTGCAAAAATGCATAATATATTGTAAAAAACACAGACATTTTCATTATAATATTGTTTTTTTCTTTACACTGTGAGAGACAGACCTAACACATTTCTGTAGGATTTTTGTTTATAAAATACATATAAAATATAATATATATATTCTAAACTAAAATCTTAATAGGATTTTTGTTTATAAAATACAATATATATATTCTAAACTAAAATCTTAGAACTTGAAACCTTTCAAATGTGTTCTTTACTGTTTTGTTATTTACACAGTTCATGCTTTGTGTATCATGCATAACGTGTGGCCTCCGTTATTGTTGCAAATCGAACACTTACATGCCAAGAGCACTTTGGCCTTGCGGCTGACCAGCAAGCCATATCGGTTTTGGGCAGCGCAGTCGTACTCGCCCACATCTCCTTCACTTCCTTCCCTGCGTTTCTGGAAGCTCTGGATGAACAACGTGCCGTTCGCCAGTACCTGGAACCGCGGACTGGTGGATAACGGCACCCCGTTTTTACGCCATGTGACCATGAGGGGCTCCTCACCCTGGACCCGACAGTCCAGCATGAGCGGTTGATCTCTGACGGCAATCACATCACTGGGCTCCATCAGGAAAGACAGTTCAGAGGCCCAACAGACACCTGAAAATAGGAGAGGGAAATATTGTGTCAATGAAAAGAAAAAAAATTGGAATGGCTGTTCATTTGTGGAAACTCTTCCAACTCTTGTATAAAGTTCCTTATTAAGAGATAGTTGGCAATAACAGAAGCAGCAAGGTTGACAGAAATAGCAATTTTCAATTGATTTGATTGACAGATTAATCCTAATTTTGATACTGTAATGTGTTTACATCACAACATAGTAGTACAATACCAATGATAAAAAAAATACTGGATAAATGTATCGCTTTAAACATTCTTGCGCTGAATATAACATAGAACATAGACCCAGCACTGTAATAACCTAAAAAAAAAGCCTGTGTTGGCTGCCGTCTAGTTGTTTTTATTGTGTACTGTTCGTCTTTCTATCTACAAGGAGAAACGGGACACTAACAAATTTGCAAACATTAACTTTCGTCATTCCCCGATAAATAAATGTTACATTGACTTCATGAGACACTGCAGACCTATGTCTTTTCATAAATGGACATAAGATGGAAAAATACGACCTTCTAGAACATTCTAGAGAGTTCTCTATAACCGCAGTTCCCAAACTTTTCTCTCAAAACTACATTAGAAAATGCTACAAAATACGTAAAGAAACATCAACTTTTGGAATGTATTTTCTTACTTCTACTTACGAGTCAATAATTATTACATTTATTTCGCTAACTTACTAACGAACAGGTTTTCACCAATATCAAAAATACGTCATTTTTAGTTAGCTACACGCTAGCCTGAGGAGCAGAGCAGCATAACAGGTGCAAACCGACAGGTCTGCTCAGAGTATGACGTCGTCAAAGGTTGCACCTATCATGCGAGGTGCGTTCATGGACTATCGGAAACTTGAGCCTAAAGATTACTGACGTTTACCTGTTGAGCCATTGAGAACAAACGGTCATTATTTAATTAAGTTTTATTGTACTTTTGTGCCTGGGGGCTCCGTTTTATACCAACATAGAGTGAGCACAGCACTCAGATGACTATGGATGTTTTTTTGGACATCTTGATAAGCAGCAATAACTTATTTCCATATGAAGACTGTTGTATTCGGGTGCATCTAAAGATGTCATTTGGAGTTTACGTTCCTATGTGAAAGTAGGAGCCAACTGTGGGAATGCATTGATGAACTTAAAAAAAGTCCAAATAAAAGACATAATAATGTGTCATTAAAACCCAGACACAGACATTAAGATGACATTCTTCAGTGGAAAACAAATTATTTCTCAAAGAGCTAAGCTAACACCAAACAGAGCCGTCTTTGATTTAAGGATTATTTTATTTTATTTTTTTGCCCATAATTCTTTTACTGACACAGAGCTACAATGGAGGTTGAATACCAGTGAAGCATCCAGCCAAGATTTGAACAACAATAGCGAAGCTGGAGAAGAGAAGTCTGGCCAGGCAGGCTGGGGTCATGTTCAGGGATTTTCTATTGTAGCGATTGAACAGACCAGCGGTGACAATGGTGATGTGACAATGTTTATTTGCACCCAATCCCCCTCGCATCCTCACTAAACTCTCCCATCATCCACCATGCATCCGAGGCCACCATCTGCCCCTTCTTATGCATCCCCCAACCCCTCCCTTCCATCTTTGAGGTGACTTTCCCATGCCACCAGACCCGCTCGCCTTCATTTTGTCCCCGCTTCGCCTTGACCTCGGTGACATTCATGGTCATCCTCATTTTCTTTCAGCCCTTTTTAATATTATTGTTCTCATATGCAAAGAGCCTTGGACCCTTTGGCATCGCCTGCTTTCCTTCTCTTCCCAGCTGTGAAGCGGTAACAATGCACTTGCACTTGAACCTGAACAATACCTTATCGGTGTTGTTGTTGCAAAGTCTTGCATCTGTTCCGTTTAAACTTTAAACGAAACATGACTTTGAAAGTTCGTGCGTCCGTCCTCGCTGCAGCTGCATTGTGGGTAACCTGCAGCTGCAGTATTTGTTTCCTTCTGAATACACCGTTGCACATACAACCACCACTTTTATATCAATCCATGATAGAGTTTATTTTACTTATTTTGAATATTAAATCACTTTCACAGGCGGCCATTTTGCTATTTCCACTACAGTGTTCCATCTCTATATCGCGGTTCTCCTTTCGCTCCCTCAGTACATCGCAGATTCTTTTAAATCCGATCTCGTGAAACGTTTTGCGCAACATATAGCAAAAAAAAAAAAAAAACCAAAAGACGTTATAAAATAATTATACATAGAAAAGGTTTAGCTTTAAAAATGTGGATTCTCGTTTTGAAATTGAGATAAGCGCATTTGCGAACGATCGCCGGTAGCCTTGTTTACCTAGACGGGATCGTACATAGCATCCCATTGGCTAATACTATACGTACTCGGTGTACTATTGGCTAAATGAGCACGCTCTTTTGTTCCTCACTGATTGGCTCATGCATCGTAGCATCTCTCAGCATCTCTCCCTTGTCTGGGAGGGAGGGTTCATAACCCTAAAAAATATATACGTAAATAATATGATAACTATCTCGCGTCTACTTCGCAATATTTCCCATTTCGCAGTGGGTCTCGGAACGCAACTACCGCGATAGGACAACCTGCCAGCCGTGTTAAAGTCCTGGCTCCAAATCTACTACTAACTCGAAGGAGACCTCAGAACATAATTCTACAACTTTTGGACATTTTGTAATGTCCCATAAGGTCTGTATTTACAAGGAACAAACACTCATCTTTCGACGCAGCAAAGCTCATCTCCAGTGTCATGATTTGTGATTAGGTTACTGAAATTAACCCCCCACCCCCCCCACTCTCCCCAAGGCAGATGCAGCTAGTAGAGAGGTGTTCCGTTCAGCTGTGTCTGGACCTGCTGATAGAGAACTGCAAACCCCCCCCCCATCCCTCAGGCCTGGTAGTGAAATCTGGCACTCCCCAGGGGGAAATTGTATTGCGTTTGGTGGCCACACTTGTACATGCAGTGTTGGTAAGTATGAGGCTTTAAACACCAGTGTTGACACATCGAAAAAAAAAAACAAGGGCAAGCCCCGGGGTATATGGTAAAATGTGTTTTTCTAATAATAATAATAATACGTTTTTTCATTTGTTTACCAAGTCAGAATGTACAGCGCAAAATTAGAAACAACGGGACAACACCATTCAGCCCGGTGGTATCAGTTTGCATGTTTGACCAACATGAAAATGCGGACCATGTTTGTAGCCCAGGTCCTAACAGCGTGAGCAGCTCCACACCAGAAGAGTTAAATTCATCCTGCTCATGATCCCACAAGCTAAGCTGCGTGGGGTGTGATTAAGTGCATAGCATTGGAGATTCAACCGTTTTCACGATAGGGGTACAACTATAATGAGTTTTTTTTTTTTTTTTTGAGTAGGGGGTCGGCTAGAAACCCCCACATAAGCAGTAACCTCGAGCCTCTTGAAGGTCATGGGAGAGTCAGAGGTGAGAGGGATGGATGTGCAGATGAGGGAGGAGGGAGGAGGG